GATATAAACAGCCTTTTATAAAGGTAAAAATAATAAAACAAGGTCTTTGTCTGCAATGGTTAGACATGTTTTTTTTTTCCATTTTCATTAGTGATTATCTCAATTTCGGCTAAAAGAATTGACAAAATCCTACACACAGTGCCTTTAAAATGATCCCACACTTTTGAGCTCCGTTGCCAGGTAGCCATGATACCAGAACCTGTCTGTATATTGTGTTGTGATGTCCACGGCCTACCCCAGTTACCACTACTGCAAATGTGTGTCAAGGACAGAAAGGTAGATGTGGCAGTGGAAGGTGTCAAAGCAGTTTGTAGAGAAAAACAAAGTAAAAAAATTAAAAAAGAATGACTATTCGACTATTAAATTAGTTGTCGACTGTTTTTATAATCAATTAGTTATCGACTAGTCGACTGATCATGGCAGCCCTATAGGTGTGTGTGATGTGACGCGATGAAAACTGTCTGATGCGACAGCTTAGCAAGCTACTTTTTTTCTTTCAAGGAAGACATGACAGGTGAAACTACAGCATGTGTACCTTATCAATAATTACTCAAATAAAGCAAGAATCACCAACACAGACCTGCGTGCGACCAGGAGTCAGCGGCTCAGTCCCTGTTAGCACTGATCAGCAATGCAGCTACGAGCTAATGTAAAGTCCTTTAACTTTTAAAAAAGTAACCAGAGTAGTTTGTGAACTCAAAACACCATAAATCCAGACAGAATGAGCTGCTGTCTGTGTGTCACCATCCAGCCGCAGCACAGAAGGTCTCAGGAGCATTAACKCTTTGGGGCCCAGTTTTAAAATGTGGTAAATAAAGTATTTTCAGTGACTGAAAGGAAGTTTTTTTTTGGATAGCTGCATGTTTTTAACTGTTGTCTTTTATATCTACAAGAGTCAAGAGTTCTTCTGAAGTGTTACAAAGACAATTTGTAGAAACAGGACATGATTTGAGGATTTTTACTGATATTTTCATGTTACATGTTACAGAAGTAATGAGCCTTATTTTGAATAAACATAATAAATGGGCTCATTCCTACAAAACTGTCAAATACATTTACAAAATACACTAAACTGATTCAGATTAGCATAAAATAAGCAATGTTTTATAATTAAATGTCTGTGTCAACCCCTCCCCCACCAAAGAAAAACAAACAAACAAACAAACAAACAAACAAACAAACAAACAAAAAAAGACAGCCCACCACCACCACCACAGTTAAAAATGTCCTAGGCCCTAGGGGAAATCCTGAGCAAGAGATTAGTTAGTTTTTCTCCATTTTCCTCTTGATGAGGACATAAGTCTGCAACAATGGATCATGYCTATCTGCAGGGAAAACTTAGCTATAAAAGCTCACACTCGCGTTTGTAGTCGGTATTTCAAATCTGAGGATATTCAAGAACCAGCATCAGAAATGAGAAGASGGATGCTGCTAAACTCCCAGCAACTTCAAGAAAACTTTAATTTAGAAAAACAGGACTTTTTTAGATATCTCCAGCTAAGACACCATTATGACAAAAATATAAAACTATTAGAGGAAGAGGAAACAGGATTAGTTAAATTTTTTCTTGACACATGTAAAGGAAAACCTTTAAAGAAACAAGTATCAAGAATATACTCATGTTTACAATCGGGAAGAAATCAAAATACAAAAAACACCAAAGTTAAATGGGAAAAAGAAGCTAAAATAATAACAGATGAAAATTGGTTAAATA